TACTGGAATTTAGTGCTGGTAAACGGGATGATTTTTGTTTTGTTTAGATTTTACTAAGAGAAATTTTGTATTTTTTTTAATTCTTTAGAGATGCACATTAAATTTTGGAAATAGACCCAATCCACAGATGTATTAATGTGCACTCCTATTAACCATTGAGTATAGCAAATCGGTTGAAAGTTCAATCCGTCATATTCACAAATTGTTGTACTAAAGAAAAAAAGCACTATTAACTCAACCACATTAATAATCTCAAGTCCTACATTTGACTCTAAAGATGATTTTAATAGAAAGTATTTATAAATAGTAATAAATATTTTTCTATCAATTTTAATTTTTATTTTCCGATTACATGTATTCTTACAAAGAATTTCGTTTGCTTTCTATTTTTAAAATTCAATAGTATTTTGTAATCTATGATTTTAGAATCCCATTTCGAAAACCAAAATATTATTTTAAGTATACCAAAGTTCAAAAATACTTTCAAAAAGTAAAAGAAATTATTGATCAATAATTTTATTCTTAAAATTAAAGTTGTTAAGAAAAGGAATCTTTTCTTTCCTTTATGGAAGAACGGAAAGATTAGGGATTGAATCTTTTCATTTGGAGAGAGAAGATCTCTACTCCTCACATCTCGAAAATAGTTATAGCATTTAACAGCATCCACTTTTGTATAATTTCAAAAACCATATAAAAGTATAATTTTTTATCCTTTTTAATTCAACAATCTAAACATTGGCGCAAAACAAACTTAGCTCAATTCGTTACGGTTTAATGTTTCCCGAGTTAGGAAATTGAGGCGGACACGGATTCCTCGGATTATAAGGGTGGAAAGCTAAAGAGCCATCTATTACGGGTTTAGAATAGAAAATAGTTTCCACCATCTTTCTAATATTCCTTTCCATATATGGGGAATTCCATCTATACAATTACTTTCAAATATAATCTCAGTGTGTACATTCATACCATTATGAGTATAGCTGAAGAAAGAGGGGAATCTCTGAAATGAATTGGGTTTGAAGGGAAAGCAAAAAGGAAGCAACAACAAACTTACCAGACACTATTATAGGAGATGCCATTTAGATCCAAGAGAGATCCATCATTGAAGACCAGACATCCATGGCGCAAGAAAAGGTCCCTTTGATTATCAGTAGGAAGAAGAGAATTGGGTGCCATTATCTCCCTCAGAGATGGCCTTGAGAAAACCATCCATGGAAGAATACTTCCATCAATTTCACAGCAATCCCACAAGTTAATTTCCCTCAATCTTCTGCAATTTCTCACCACCTCCTTCACCCCTTCAGCAGTCACTTTTGAACAGCCCAGCAAGTCCAGATGGATTAAAGAAGGGCATCTTCTTCCAATCACTGCTAATGTTGAATCCTCAATTGCCAGTCTTTGTAATCTAAGTGCTTCCATGGCTGAAACTTCAAAGTCCATCTCCAAATTCTTGATTCCTGTACAGAAATTTAGTTCCAGATGCCTGATCTTGTTGCACACTCTCAGCAGTTCTCCAATGCCTTCTTCTGTGATTCCTGCACAGTGGTTCAGTTTCAACAGCTCCAAATTTGGGAAAATGGAAGCAATTTTTCCCACACCCTCGTTACACAAATTCCTGTTCCCAGATAAATCTAGAGACATAAGTTGAGGGTGGGATAAGTCTGTTGTGTAGTCTTCGTCTTTCTCGAGATTTACATTCTTCATTTTTACCTCAGTTAGAGCAGGGCAGTTTCTTGCTAGAGAGAACAAGGAAGAACAGGTCAGATTCGAGCAATTGCTGAGGTTTATGAATTTTATCAGTGGAAGAAATTTTGATAACTCTTTTACAGACTCATCGGTCAGAAAATTGGCCACTTCAAGATCTAGCCATTCAATCAGAAGATTTTTATACAACACCAACGAAATCCCGGACAACGAGAAGTTGTGGCAATGGGAAAGAATGAGCTTCTTCAATGGCAGACGTGCATTTGCTACTGAATGCAGCAACTCATCCGAGATAAGTGATTCCGAAAGATTAAGAGAAGTCAAAATTTTCAAGGAATCAATAAGATCCGGATGAAGAGAGGGAATTCCAATCCAATTTGCGGAAATTGAACTCAGATTAGGACTCTGGCGCAGGGCCTTAGCAATACCTGATTGAGTAATGAAATCGCAATCACAAATTGCTATTTCCTTTAGCCACACACAGTTCGTTGATAAATCTAGAAGTGACTTATCAGAAATGAACGAATTGCCAGATAAATTTACCTTGCAAAGGCGCGGCAGCCCCTGAACCAGACCGAAAATCCCCAAATCCGTAACCTCCCCACGACCATCGCAAGCGAGAGCGTTCTTCGGATAACTGATATCGAGCTCTTCAAGATTCGGAAACGACCTAGCAATAACAACCAGATCGTCGTCCGGCAGAAATCCAATCTTCGAGCAAAGCAAAACCCTCAAATTCCGCATCTTCGAGCCCAAGACCATCAAACCAGTAACCGGAATTCTCTTCTGATTAGAGATATCGAGCGATTCAACATCCAATCCAGATCCTGCGATTCCAACGAGCAGGCCATCGAGGGCGCCCTTGAAATTCTGAAGATCAATCTTCTTGATTTGCCGGAATCTCGAATAAATCCGGGGAAGTACTGGAACCGTTAATTCGGAGATTCTGAATCTAATTCGAAGCTTATTGGTAATGGAAAAGAATTGCTTGCAGACGAGGGATAGGGATTCGAAATGGTGGCCGTGACGGCGTAGGAGGAGGAAACTGAAGATCAGTTCCCAGCATTCTTCAGGCAACGATGCGAAATTGTCCTCCATCGTCCTCCTGCAACTTGAATTCCAGAGCAAAATCAGAGTGGAAAACAAAAAAAAAATGGAGAAATTTCTTGGAGGAGGTTGAGATTTGAATCTCGAACGACGGAATCGAAGAAGGGAAGTGGGTTGGCGGGCTCCACTGTTAACAATCCCACGATTTTCGCTTTAAGAAAACTGATTCTTAAAATAAAAATTTTAAATTTTCAAAATGGAGCGCAAAAGATTTATTTATTTATTTACATGAAATTTTTATAATTTCTTTTTTTTTCCTGAGTAAATGAAAAACTTTATCAACGAGGGACACGTCATGGTTACATTTGAATTAGGACCTCTACCGACGGATGTAAAAGTCAAGTGCGAAAACACCTATTCGAAAGGATATCAAGGTCAAAACGAGAAGCTCCTTTGGTCGAAATATCAACCTGTGATTACGACTAATCTGAACAAACTGAAGCTCATTGAAACACTTCCAACTCCACAATATCCGACACCAACAGACCTTCCTCCTTTCAAAACATCACCTTCCTATTTACAAATTGAATACCCTCCAAACAATCCGATCAAACCACTAGATTCTAAAAGTTGAGATTGGTAGCCAGACGAAGAGCCTCCCAATTTTTATAATTTCATTCTTAAGAGGAGAATACCAAACCTCAAAAAAATTGGCCAAAGCCAGATCCCAAAGATAAAACTAAAATGAAATAATAGTCTTTTTTTATAGACCATAGTAATAGTATAACTTAACTGGAATTTCTTCGAAATGCTCATTTGATCCAAAGCAGACGAGATTTTTTTTTAAATAATTACTTTTTAAAAACAAATGACAAAAGTAGGGTAGGATCAAAACATATTCCAAAAATAGGGTAGGTAAATCGCAGCCAACGACCGTGATTTCAGAAATCGCGGTCGTTGTGTGCGATTTAGCACGAAATCGCGGCCATAGTTTGACGTGGCTCCACGTGGAGCCACGTCTCAGAAGGAAGAGGCTGCGACTTCCATTCTGACGCGCTGTGACTTGCTAAGGTTTCGATGGGGACAAAATTGTCCCCACCCGTGACCCCTCCCCCATTTTTACTTGTTCTCTCTTTCTTCCATGGTCCCCCCTCCCTCATCCTCCAT